AAAAATGACCACAACTTCAAGAACAACAACGAGGAATCACAAAGCAGAGCAAGCAATTAAACAGAAGGGGAAAGTAGGGAACATACAGAAGGAAAATAACATGACAAAGATAAGCCAATACATATTAGTTATATACATCAATGTAAATGGTCTCAATTCACCAATCAATAGCTGCAAACTGGCAGAGTGGATCAAGAAACAAAATTCAACAATATGCTGGATACAGAAAACATATTCATAGAATGAAAGTCAAAGAGTAACAACAATACTCTGTGCAACAGGAGCACAGAAAAAATCATTATCTCTTTGCAGACAATGTGTAACTCAAACCAATAATGCTCAACAGAGATAAAGAAGGTCACTACCTACTGGAATGAGAAGGACAAAAGAAAGGAAGGAAGTATGACAGCTATCTTTATACAGGTTAGCTTGGATAATTGTACTGCCTATTTCTGCTGCTCTGTCGAAAGGAGCAGTTAATGCTTAATTTTTTTTTCTTTTTAATGTCTTACAACATTTTAAAAACCAATTTTGCATGCTTATACCTTATAATCTAAACAACTGATTTGAAAACATTATGCAATGTAATAACTGTTGTTGAATTATTATTTTGTTCAGTGAAATTCTGTAGAGTTTCTAATGTTTTTTTTTGCCTTTTTTTCCTCAAAAAACTAAAAACTAAAAAATTAACACCCTCTGCAATTTAATTGAAAGTATCAGAGTGAACCCATAGTGTGTATTATATGCAATTACTGTATATTTCTCTTGTTACTGAGAAACAAAACCCAATTTATTAGCAAAAACCATCACTGGCAATTAGATTGTGGTCTAAAACACCAAAAGGAACCAGTCTCTTGGAGAAGTGCCCAATTCCAAGTCTGGAGTAGAAAATGTTATAAATTTAGAACTTCTTATACAGGCAGTTGGAAACCATTAGTTATTGTTCATATTATAGCCAAAAGCACCAAGAAACAAGTTGGCAGCTCTCCCATTGGCTGCCAGAGATGGGACAATAAGAATCAATAAAGATGATAATTGCAATGGTTCTATACATATCAAATAAATTTGAGCTGATGAGTTCATAATGACAATAAAGAACAATGGATTGGCACTATGAATAGGCAAAAAAAGCTAATGGATAAGCTCATTATAAGAAAATGGGTAAAGTTCTAGAATCTTACATTTATCTTATATTTTCATATATGAACTTCAGGATAATTATACCATAGTTGAGGGGCAGTCTTATTTGTAGAAATGTTCTGGGAGGCCGAAGCAGAAGATTTGCAAGTTCAAGCCCAGCCTGGGCCATGTAGAGACTTAGTGAGTTCCTGTCTCAAAACAGAAAAAATAAAATTAAAAAGGGATGATTATATAGTTCTGGGTGAAGGTTTTCAGATCAATACCAAGTACTGAAAAAAACTACAAATCTGACATAAATGAAATAAAACAAGATACCATGTTCCTCCTGATGGAACTAGAAAATATGATTTGGTCAAACCAAGAGTCAACCTTGGCTCTGGTCCTACCTCAATATACAACATTTATAAAAGGTCCAGGGCACAGACAAATGTTTAGCTATACTGCAGTGGCATAATCAACAAAAAACAGACTCTGGCTACTCTAAAGGACAAATGACCTGGTTTATCCAAGGCATAAATTTCAAGGGATGATAAAAGAAAAAAAGATGGACAAAATCTGTAAATTAAAATATATTTGAGTCATAGCTAACTGCCACATTTCAATCTTATTGATATTAATACAAAATGTAAAAATATTTTCATGAAGCAATTGAAAATTTTGTCAGGGCTGGTGAGATAGGTCAGTGGACTGAATGCCTGATTTGGCAATCACAGGGATCAGGGTTTCCTCCTGGGTCCTGATGCCAAGCAGGTTTCACCCCCAGGGTGTGCTGAGCTGCTGACTGAGTCCGAGCATGGTGTTGCATGCCTGTAATACCAGCACTGGGGAGGCTGAAAGAAACAGGAGGATCACTGCAAGCCTGAGCTGTGTAGTGAGACTCTGTACCAAATACAAAAATGAAAAATAAAATTGTCACTGGACATTTGATAATTTTTTTTAAGGTATGAGTATATATTTTTAAAATTTCTGTAGTTTGGAGATATATACTGAAGTACTTAGGAAATGGTGTGATGTCTAGTATTTACTTCAGCTTGATATAGCCAGGGACAGGATAGATGAAAGGTTAAATAGGATTGGCATAAGTTGATTGGCATCTGTGGTTCATTAGACTATTCTGTTGTTTTTGTGTATGTTTAAAGTTTTCTAAATTGAAAAGTTTTAAAAAAGCAAATGAAAACATGCTTAGACTTGCTCACACATTCCTGTAGCCAATCTTACTCCATAAGTGTGTGTTCCTTGAACTCTCAAGGGTGTTTTGTTTTTTTTTTCTCCTGCTATTTATTCATTAAACAAATACTTTCAGGCAGCCTAGTTGGCACTGTGTAGGCAAGGAGAAAGGTGCTTGTTACCAAGAGTTCACGGTCTTTTTTGGAAGACCACACACATGTGCACAAAACATTGCTCAGCCACAGGGCAGCAGTACGTGGAGATTAACCGTATTGCACAAGCAGCAAGCCATCTGGGGCTTAGGTCATCACCTCTGTGCCCCTGGATCCACATATTCATTGTCTCTCTAGTTTCCTAGGCATGGAGGGTCTTTTCTGAAGCTATATTTAAAGACTTTAAATAACAGAGCCATTAGTAATCTAGATGGACTTGAATATTCCTTGATTACCAGTCATTTTAAAAAATGATCAAGGGCTAAGGCATAGCTACTATAGAGAATTCTGAATTACAGTGGTACTACTCAGTGCTAACGTTTTTATTTCATTCTAGCCTGAGACTAGTGTTTTAATAATAATAATGTATTAATATCTCTACATTTTTAGGATGTGTATTTAAAATCTAGTACATTGCCAATTTGGAAGATTCTCTTTTCCAAATCCTTATTTACATATGTGCCTACATTATAGTTGAGATTCTGAATTACTTTTATAAACCCTCTTTCCTGTCCAGTATCTTTTCCACATGCCTGTACCAGTCAGGTCTTGTGTATATTAATATCAGTGATTAGCTTAAGTGGTTTCTTGAGAACTTGTTCTCACTTTTTCACCATGAAGTCATGTGTGAATCTAGTTTTAAAGTAATAAACATTCGTTACATGCTTGGAAAAACCTTCTGACTAGACATGAGCTCATCTAAAGGTCCACTTTGCACATATGCTGGTGGAAAAGGATATGGATGGAGAGAGCATTTTTTAAAATTTCCTTTATACATATGAGTATAAAGTAATTTTCCAAAAACTCACGATATTGTCCCATTTTCTTCTTCCACAGCCATGATTATCTCAAAGTCTGAGTTAACACAGCTGTCTTTCATTATTTTCAGGGCACAAAAGTCACTACCCTCCCCCCCAAGAAGGCTTAGACCCTAGAGTGGTTTAGTTCCCAGGGACCCGTTCCTACGTCTCTCCACATTCGGCTCAAGACCCCATTGAATATCACTGAAAAATGTCTTAAAATCAAAAGGAAGAACTGATTTCATCTAGGGACAGGGGGATTATGTCAGTTGAATAAATTACTTTTTCTCTTTTAGATGTAAACCATGGTTGCTGTCATAATTACAACCTTTCATTATTCTATTAGGCTTTGTCCTATTTACATCACTGAGGTTTATTTTTGCTCTGTTGTTATGAGGATGGATGTTCCAGCTTTATCCTAGATGCCTTTGAGACAAGGCACTATTCAACTGAGGAAACCTTTTCTTAGTGGAGGAAAATAGTGCTGGAAAAAGCTGTTTCATAGGGCTCCCTAGAATTTGTCCTAGAGGAACTGAGATTGGAAGCTCGCCAGACATGGCTCAGTGGTATCAGCCAAGTGTTTGTTGCCACTCCTGAGCTTAAGAATCTTTATCTTTAAAGAGAAAGTAGTATTAGATCAGCAGTTCTGAATGGGCTGCCCCTTAGGATTTCCTGAGGAATTTTATAACAGAGCCTGGGCCTCACCCAAGAAGTTCTGATCAAATCCATCTGCACATAGTCTTAGTTCCTAATCCTTTTAAAGCTCCCAGATGATCCTAATATGAAGATGTCAGGGATGAAAACCTTCTGAGTGCTTCCAACTCATTGGAACACCTTGTTGTACATAGCCACTGGCCACACTGCAGTTTCTCATTCTGTAGGTCAGGTCTAGGGCCAAGCAATTTGCATTTCTAACTGATTCCTAGGTGAAGTTATTGCTGTCAGTCTCTGTGAATTGGTTGGTCTGTTGGTCAGTAGATCTGGCGAGCTGTTTTTGAAAACCACTGGATTATATGACGCTGAAGTCTCTTTCAGGCCCTACCCTTTGCTGATGGAGATCAAGGTGGTTCTTTTGAGGAATGTCATGGTTTCTTCAGATGAACCACTTGTCCTGCACCCTGATGCTCCTTCAAGCAGACAATGCAGGAGATTGGAGGCACTGCTTCCTTAGGTTCACAGAGGTCATTTGCAAGTCCTGTGTTGGACTTGCTGTCCTTGGAACTTTTGGAACAGTGGAATGGCTTTGAATCCTTCACTCAATGGTTTGTGCTTGAATCGAATGTTTCCTGTAGTTTAAAAAAAAAAAAAAAAGCCAGCAAAGCTTCATGTGGCCCTGTCCCTGGGGACCTGTGGGGGATATGGAGCCTGGTAATTTTTAAAGAATGAAAAACAGAACACTATAAATATTTCTGACAGGCAAGGGATTCATTTGCTTTATCTTTATTAGATTGCCCAGAAGGCAATAATTGGTCTCTGGCAAACAACAACGTGAAGACTGGTTGTAAAATTCCTTCTGGCAAGAGTTAAGATGCTTCATTTGAATAGAGCAGAACAATCCTTAGGGGTCATTCTGGCTTCAAAGGCTTGTACATAGTTTGAAAAGCAAAGCCTGGATGGAAGATGGAAAGGGATCACATTTGAAGTCTTTTTCTTTCTGTCTTTCTTTTTTTTTTCCTGACAGGATGACAAAGATTTGGTGCATGAATTTGTCATGGCTGAAGGTCTGACATGTTTGATCAAGGTGGGAGCTGAGGCTGATCAGAACTATCAGAACTACATCCTGAGGGGTGAGTCACAAGGGGCGTGCAGCGGCAGCCCCCCTGCACTGTGTGGGACCTGGGTCTGCTCCAGCAGTTAGCACATCGAGAGCTTGTAAAAGACTCCTACTCAAGAGGGTGGAAAAGATACCCTAGAGCAAGAGACGACCCCTTCACTAGGTCCTAGCAGTTTCGAGTAATTAGTGACAGCTAATTTCACTCACTTTCACTTAGGATGTCTTCTGGGTTATTAAAGAAAAAAGAACATACAACACAGGTTGGATTATTTTGGTGGGTGGTATTATTGAGGATTGAACCCAGGCCCTTTATACTGAGCTACATCCACTTCCCTTTATCTTTTTTTTTAATAGAGAAGTTTATTTACTTATTTATTTTTCTCCATAATTTTATTGAGAAACAAATAGCAATGAGACAGTTTCACATCAAATGGTAGGACAGTTTCAATAACTAACATATTGCATACTCTTTTTCTAGTGGTTATTTGCTGTACAAGATGCAGACATGATATCCTATTTGCAAACACTATTAGAACAAATCCCTCTATTCATTAAGAAGATGTAACTATATATCTGTCCTAACCATTTCGAATACATAGATACAAAATGGATATTCATCTGCATCCCCTTTTTTGTTTAGTTCTGTCATTTGAATATTATAGGTGTTTTAACTCAGCAAAATATTCTAGAAGAGTCCAGTAGTCCATAATAGTATTGGGTCTTCCACTTGACTGGCAGTGTCAGAAATTGTTGACCTGAGTCCCCTACAGCTCAACATAACAGCATGGCTTTACTTCTTATACTTCGTGTTTATACTTTTCTGCTGAACGGTTAAGACCAAGACAAAGCAAGACCTATGCAGCAAGACTTGTAGCTTTTGGATCTGATAAGTCAGTGAAATCCCCTCAGGATTTATCCTGAAACCCTGTACCTTAGATTGTAGATCCTTTGTCAGTGTTAGCTATGTGGATGAGTCATGGCCATTGCTTGGTCAATGTGCTCTCTGTGAAAGCATGAGAGAATGATTTCTCTCCATGTGACTCTCCTTAGGCACACTCTACATCATGGGTCACTTTCCTCTTTGGCCCCATAATCTCCTTGATCAGAAAATTTCTCTAATTTTGGTCTGCAAACTTAGGTTGTTAACGCTCCAGAAGAGAAGCTTATTGTTATTCCCATACAACCTAGGCTGTTGAGCTTAACCTCACTTTCTGTCTGAATATCAAACATCTTAGGCATAACATGGAACAGGTATTTTTCATCCAGTATTGATATGTTGAACTTTAAGTCCCTACAGAATATGATGAAAAAACATTTAAAAATTAGAATATATTTTAAAAATAGGCATAAAGAATTATGTAACTCTTATGGTAACACTTAAGTCCAGAAATCTAACCATATACAACCTTGAAGCAGGACGGTCCCACAACATTCCTTTTCCTCTCTCCTGTGTTCATTCACCACCCCCTTCTTTTTGAACAATCATCTACCTGAGAGACAGCACAGCAGCAACTGGCATGTCATGACAAGCAGCCTGTATTCAGAAGACCAGAATGATAGGCACTCCAAGCATGAACCTACTATTACAAATTGTCGTCTTCAGTGCAGTTGCTTAGTTAATAAAAAATTTTAGTTTTATCAGTACTACATATTTGTAGTACCTCATGATTACACTTATCATCGGTAGTTGGTATATTCTAATTTTTATTTTGAGACAGACTCTTGGCTAAGTTTCCTAGAGTGGGCTCAGATTTGCAGTCCCCCTGCCTTGGTCTCCCAGAGCACTAGGATTACTTGTGTGTGTTCATGCCTGTCTCACTAGTTCTTCCTATTGTCTTACTTGGGGGTAGGAGGCACCACTGAGTGGGCTCAGACTGCATGATAGCAGAAAGCCACCCAAACTGAAGGGGTCAATTTATTTCTTGGATAAAAATATTTTCTCCAATTTGAGTTATCACCTGGGACTCTTTGCAGACTACACTTTCCCTGCCATGTTCTCTTGCATTGACTGGATGGGTCTGGGCCATGCCTGGGAGTCTGTACTCCATAAAGTGACTCTGAATGCAGTCTCTACCATTTCATATATGAAACCGTAGGAAGGCGTTTGCAGTTCTGATCCTTTTTGCAGCCCAGGGGTGGTCTTTTACCATGGTAATGATTTTGTGCACCTTTATTTAATAATTCTGATTTCATAAAAACAAAAATTGTGTCTAAGAAGGGGAGAAATGACTATATTAGACCCTGAAATTGCTTCTATACATAGTTTTGACCTAGAAAAGGAGAAATTTCACATATAAATATTATCTACATTTTATGGTTGGGCAAAATTAAGACTCAGCCCAAATGTTTTGCTTAAACAAGTTCACCCTTGTATTTGGCCAAGCAGGGGCTGAGCCAGGGTCTGGGGGCACACCAAGAATGTTCTCCTATACCTTAGTGTCAGCATGCCACCCTCCAAGTGGCATGCTGATGTTAATATAAAAATCCCCTGTCTTACTCTTCTCTCATTGCTGGGACAAATACCCGACACTCAAAATGAAGGAAGGAAAGGTTTATTTAGCTCACAGTTACTGGAGCTTTCAGTCCATACTCATCAGGGTCCAACGCAGAGCAGCACAGAGCAGAAAGCAACCTTTCATGGTGGAAGCAAAGAGCAAAAGAGCAAGGGAGGGGTAGCAGCAGCTCAAGCAGCTAGCTTCTCTTCCCACCTTACATTGTAATGCAAATTACCTGCCCCAGGGCGGGTGCACCATCCACACCCACAGTAGTCAATCACAAACTCCAGAGGCTGCCCCAAGACTGCATGAAGCTTTGGGGGGCCACCTATACACAAACCATAACATCCCCAAACCACTTTTTCTTCTTCTGTGGTTAAAGAAAAATGTACGAGGTGTGTGGTTTCCTCTCAGATGTTCATGGTCAGAGGTGAGGGAGACAGGCAGGGTGGGATGGCCATTTCAGCAGGGCTGTTTTGCCTTGACAGTGGCTTCTGGGGTTCTGTGCTCTTACCATTCCAGCTAAGTCCTCCTTTCCCTTCCTGCACTCCTGAAAAACCACACAAGAGAAAGCAAAAGAGCAAACATAGGGATTGTCAAGCTGGTGTTGTTTGCATTAAAAAATACAGTATGCATAGGAAAGACTGCCCTCAGTGCCTCTTTTTGTGCTCCATGTGTTCATGACAAAATCTGTGAGCCTAGAGGTTCCGTTTCTTGTGCCACCTTCCATCTTTCCCCAGGCTTAAATACAAGTTGTCATAGAGATGGGTTACTGATGAATTTTATGATTTTTCTCCTTCATGTGACTCAGGCCTTTAAATAGAACATTGTGATATGTGTAAAGACAGTAACCAGCAACGACCTGTGTCATGTCCAGGAGCAGCGGTGTCTCTCTGCTAGAGCTGAGGCAGCCCGGGGTTCCCATCCTCATGCTTGCATTTACACTGCTCCAATACCTAGGAGACGAAGGGAGAAATAGGGGCAGAACTTTCGCTGATTTCTTGTTCTTAATTATAATATGGACATTCACAAATTGAACCATATGATAAGAAATAGACTAAAGTGGTCTAATTCTGAATACTGGCTCCCAAATGAAGGAATGTATTTCCACTGATGTTTAAAGTATATGTCATTTAAACTTAACTAAAACAAAGTAAAACTCACACCCCTATATAGAAGTGATATTCCGTATTTTAAAAATCGCATCCCTCTGACCCTTGTCCAGGCACATACATGCATGTTTCTAGAGCATGGCCATCTGAATGAGCATCTGTTTTCATCTACATCCAAGTCCGTGTGCGGGGCAGGGCCCTCGCAGCCGTGGTCAGCCTCATTTATAGCCATGTGTCTTGCCAGAAAGCCCTGTCCCCAACTGCTCATGGATTAGAAGTGAAGATATGAACACCTGTAGCTGTAGGAGAGGCAGAAAAAAATGAGCATTTGTCTCATACAAGTCTATATTAAGGATCTGCACTGGGAAGGCCAGGAGATCCGTGGTGGAAGCGAGAAAGTCTGTGCCAGTGGGAGCACGGATCTGTTCCAGCAGGCAGAGGGGTCTGCCCTGGAGCCGGGAGGCGACTCTCAAAATGAGGACCAGACTTCCCCCAAAGAGAACCACAGCCATCCTCAGCGACAGTAAGGACCCAATCTCCACCAATGATGACAACAGCTGAGTTCATACCAGGAAAACCGGCATGACAAGCTGTTCCGGGATGCCCTCGTCCCTTCTAGTTCTCTTTTTAAGCTGTCGGCAACAGTCCTCCGGTGGGCCTTCCACACCCAGCACCACACTCATTCAGTCCAGCTGGGTGGTACAGAGTGTCTGTTGGTTAGCCTGTCACTCTTGGCTCCATGTCTTGCTCTCCAGCAGTGTCTGTTTACTGGGGACCAGAAGGCTCACTACATACTGCCTGGAAAGTGCTCCAGGGCATGCCATTCAGGTCACTACAAAGTGCCCTCCTTTCTGCAGAAGGGGCAGCCCTTGGGTCACTGCCCCACATGCACCAAGTCTCAGACACCCCAAGGTCACCGCGGCCCACTGCCCAATCATCAGCACATTTTGCTGTATTTGGCCAAAGGCTGTACCAGGAAAAGTACCATCCGGGGCATGTAAACAACAGATTTCCTGGGGAGTGACTTTTTTGCTTTTAGACAGAAAAACTTATCACTTTTCCTTACCCACATGTTGAGTTACCCTTTTGAGACTTTGATGAACTTATTTAAACGCTTTTTTAGTGCTTAACTGCCAACAGCCATCAGACAGACCTAGCAGTCAGACCAGAAGCAGGGCAAGAGAGGGGACTGGGACTTTCCCAGTTGTGTTGCCTACAGCTCCCTGGAAGAACACAGAAGGCCTGCAGGACCACTCAAGGCAAACTTAGGAGTCGGGCTTGAGGCAGAGGGAGGGGGCTGTGTGTGAGCACTCCAGCTGTGGCTTCCAAGGGAAGGGACAGACAGGGATGGCTGAGCAGGCTTGTAGGGTTTGGCTGGGGTGAATAATTTCAGCAGGTCCTGGGGT